TTTTTTTTTAGTTCCTGGTGCTAGAGAGAGAAGCCCAATCTTTGCCCATGTCAGACATACACTGTCCCTGAGCCACACTGCAACCCTCACTTATTTATTTATATATGTTTGCTGTTCCAAACTGAGATGGAAAGTTGCTGACGATTATGTTGTGTAAGTACCTTTTCAGATGGAGAGCCCCCTTTTGGTGTTCACATTGGTATAAGAAAGAAAATGGGTTTTAATAATATATTGACTACACACTTGCAACCAGTCAGGCTCTGTGCTCTGTGCCTCTGCACAGTCCTGTGGTAAAAGTACTTACTATAAGACCATCCCTATTTACAAATGGGAAAACTGAGGCTCAGAGAGGGGAAGTGAATTGCCTGTGGTTGCACAGCTGTAAGACCCCAATCTGAACCCATGTTTGTTGGCTTCTATTGCATACATTGCTACTTAGATTTTCCTGAAAGATTTTACAGCTGTGGAAGGGGAAAATGCCAAAAATCTTGTCTCAGTGGTTCGGAAACAGTCTTTCTTAAATTTCTTTGTATTGCAGCTATAGAAACTAGGACCTTTAATTGTGCATGTAGTGACTGGGTAGTTGGGTAACATGTTAGCCAGCTACATCTCACCAACAGCATCTTCAGAAGACACCTGAGTTTTCTTAAGACCATATTTTGCTTGGGCCACTACAAGTGGCTTTACCTGCAGAGAAGCTAGGATGGTCCATTCCTGCCCAATGTGGCATTCTCCAATGAGCAATGTCTGTGCTGTGATTCCACAAGGTGTGGACGAGGTTTTCTCAGCGCTGCGGTTCTGAGGCTCTTCCTACTCAACTTTCCTTCCTCCTTTCCTCGGTCTCTTTCTCTACTGTCCTTAGGGTACTGTGCATCTCCACATGGGTAAGGCTCGGTTTTCAGTGCATGCTTAACTAAGTTGTAAAGAAAAGGAAAGTTCAAGAAAGCAGCATAGTGAAGTTGAAGTTGCACAAATCACTGGCAAAAGGTCAGTCCCTTGGTCACACCTGTGTACAAGGAAGGCTAAAAATGTTCCTAACTCGGGAGCAGGCATCCAGGGAAAAAAGGGAGAGCAGATTTGGGTGAGTAACTGGTACTTTATCACAATGCACAATGGAGAAACCAGAGGTTTATTCCCCCCCACCCCCAACCTGGTCCTTTTGCTTCCTTCCCCACCCACCTCATATAAACAAAACAGGTTTTCGTTCACGGAGACAAGCCCTGTTCAAAACAAAACGGGCCCTACTACAGCCCAGAAGCTGATTTCTTCTCTGTCTCTCTGTCTCTCTCTCTGAGACATGGTCTCACTATGTAGCTCTGACTGTCCGGGAATTCACTACATAGGCTGGCCTTGAACACTGAGAGATCTGCCTCCCCAGTTCTGGGACTAAAGTTTTGTACCCAGCTGCTTCAGAAGTTGATCTCTAATCTGGAGACTTCAGACTACACTGGGTAACAGAAAGCCTGACAGTATCTGGTTTCTCTTCTACCTCTGCTACTACTTTTGCTAATAGATGCACTTAATACTGTCTATAAGCCACACACTTTTTTTTTTTTTTTTTTTTTTTTTCAGACAAGGTTTCTCTGTATTGCTTTGAAGCCCGTCCTGGAACTAGCTCTGTAGACCAAGCTGGCCTGGAAGTCACAGAAATCTGCCTCCCGAGTGCTGGGACTAAAGGCATGCACCACCAATACCTGGCACACTTTTTAAAAATTATTTGTTCTTGTGTTCACATGTGGAAATCAGACAAAAAGTTGAGGAAGTTAATTTTCCTCCAACACCATATGCGTTCCAGGAATTGAACTCAGATCTTCAGGCTTAGAGACAAGTGCCTTTATCTATTCAGCCATCTGGCTGGCCTCTCTTCTCTTGGTTTTTGCTTTTTGTACTTTGTAGCAGTTGTTGTATACATTTAAGATTAGTATTCTCTGAATTGATATACCCCTCCACACACCCTGTTTTTCGAGACAGGGTTTCTCTGGGTAGCTTTGGCTGGGAACTTGGCTCTGTAGACCAAGCTGGCCCCAAATTCAGATATCTGCCTGCCTCTGCCTCCTGAGTGCTGGGATTAAAGGTGTGTATCACCACTGCCAGGCATGAATTAACTCATCATTATATAATGCTTTTCTTTGTCCCATTGTTTTAGAGTTTTTTGGATTAATGGATCTCCAAAGAGACCATCACATCAATGCCCGGAATTTGTAAGTTAGACTAAAATGGTGAATTAAGGTTATTAAACAGCCGATGGTCCCAATGTAACTATAAAATCATTTATTTGCTTATTTTCTTGAGGCAGGGTCTCACCATGTAGACTTGTTGAACTTGGAGCTCATTCCTAGACCAGGCTGACCTGGAATGAATAGAGATCTGCCTGCCTTTGCCTCCCAAATGCCAGGACTAAAGATGTGTACCACCATACCTAGGGTGGTGTTGTTGTTATTTTGTTTTGTAAAAGAGAGAGTCAACTAAGAAAATGAAACTCTGAAAACATATAAAGATGGAATCAGTGAATGAGACAACTGCCAGCTTCAAAGATGGAAGGAATGAAGCTGACCCTCCACCCCCCAACAGCCTCCATTGTTTATTTCCTTTGCAGCTGTCTGACTGCCCTTCTATGATGACCTTTTCAGGGACTCTGTTTAGCCTTGAACTTTGTGCTGAATATCAAAATGGGAAGTTTATCCCTAGAATTTTCTTTCAGTCATCAGAATGTAAATGATTAAAATACATCTTCCAGGTGATGATGCTTAGGCATGGAGATGTGAAAGTTAGCATTCTATGAATATATTAATATATTCTTGTACAAATTTACATTCTGGCTTAAAAATGCAGGGCAGACTGTCAGTGTACCAAGACACTGTGACTGATCATTTTCTGTTTCCCATGTCTGCCAAGCAGATTTATAAATTAGACCAGTACCTTAAGGCAGGTATCTTTTTTTTGGGGGGGGGGCAGAGTCTATCATGTAGATTGGCCTGGAGCTAACTGTATAAACCATGCTAGCTTAGCCTTGATCTGCCTGCCTCTGCTTCCTGAGTGCCAAATAATTTTGAAAACAGAACCAGAACCAGATGGTCTATAACTTCTCAGTCTTCACACAGACTGAGCTACCAGTGCCTTCCTCTCTTGATCTCAGCACTGACAGTCAACACTAGTCCACCCTGGCAACTCTCCCTCTACTCTGAATGGTGCCCCTATGGGAAAACATTCATGTTTCCCAGAACCATTCTCTTCATTATTATAGAGATTTTGATTCAGTTCTCTCCCAACTGCAGGCTTGTCCTTCTAGTATGTTCTTCCAAACCTTTCTAGATGTCCTAGACATAGAGGTTTTCTCTCTTTCCCTGGACATTACAGTTGCCTTTCTCCAGCTCTTTGAAGTCCACCATCTTTCTCTGGGTTCCGTCATATATTCCTCGTGTTATAATTATTGGTATTCATGCTCTTATTTCTGTGGAGACTACATGTATAATTCTAGAAGGTGATGAGTGTGCCTTAAAATTCTCAGCTTACCCAACCCGATCTACATACAGCTCTGGAAACACTGGGACTTAGCTAATGTCATTCAAAAGACGTTGGAAGGGTTTGATCCCATCCTGCCCACTGCAAGCAGCTGGCTCCTGTCCCTCTACTTTGTTCTGGAGTTGGAGCCCTGGCAAAGCTCTTCTCAGGGAGTCAGGAGCAAGGAAGCTGGCTGCCTGCTTGCTTGGACACACAGAGTGGCCCTTCCCTTTTTCTTAGAAAGAAACTTGTCAGACCATCAGAGGGCTTGACAGTAGTCCTCTTTCAGGAGAGCTGAAAGTGTGATTCTAGCCATGTATTCATTCCCAATACTTCTTCCTGGGGATGCATGCTTTTTTGTTTGTCTTTTTTCGTATGTTGGGTCATATTTTCGGAGAATGGTCTGTAGATATCTTAAGTTTTCTTTCCTTGACCAGGATGAATTTTATCTAAAATCAGTGTTAGTCAACATGTGACCACAGGAGCCTACCCACTAACTGTGTTCAATCTGGATGCTTAAAAAAATATATATATATATAAATTATATATATATATATATATATATATATATATATATGGAATAAGATAAATTCTATTCCCCCAGAAACAGATCAAAAAAAGAAAAGTCGGGAATTTGTTGCACTTACTAATATTTTTAAAGGGAGCAAGTGAAGACAAAGGTCAACAGAAATGTATTGTGTGTGTGTGTGTAGGGGGTGGGGCTTTGCGTTGGCATTCAGGCTCAGGCTGGTAATAAGTTAATAAAGATAACTGGGTATGATGGGGCATGCCTTTAATCCCAGCTATTTGGGAACTGAGTCAGGAGGATAGCAGGGTTCATATGGTTGTAGAGCATGACTCTGCTTTCAACTAAAATTTAAAAACAAGTTTAGGGGTTTAGCAAGATGCCTCTATTGGTATAGGAGCCTCCTGTCAAGGCTGACACCCTGAGGTCAGTCAGGACCCACAGGGTGGAAGGTGAGAACTGACTCTGGCAGGCCTGAGTTAGTTCCCTGACTCATTGTCCTCTGACTGCCACAGAAAACACCCAGGAAAGAGAGAGAGAGAGAGAAGAGAACCAGCTCCTGCAGGGTTTTCTCCGATCTACACACACACACTCTCTCTAAATACATGTAATGCAAAAAAGAAAAAAAGAAACAGCAAATAGTCAAATAGCATCTGTTTACGAATATTTTTGTTTCATTTTATCGTTTTTATCTTAAAATTTATGTCTTCCTGTTTAACTTTTATTCTTCAGATATATAAAAGTTTCAAAAGAAAAGATTTGTTAACATCTGCCTTATTTTCAGCGATGGAAACAAAATACAGCATTTATGTTTCATGTCACATGGCTGTCTCTGTCATACTTCTATGGCTTGTAGGTCTGCACGAGGGTGTGTCTTCTGTGTTAATAGTGTGGGAAATCTAGTGTGAGAGAAATCTGGGAGGGGCATTGAGGGGGAGGCCCCTTATTTCCCATTGATAACAGGTTCATTCAGAGAGAACCGTTTAAAACAGACTAATCCCTTATGCAGTCATTCGCTGCTCTCCTCTAATAGGGCCCCTCTACCTCTTCTAGAATTCGGTAAGCTAAAAGTGCCTGTGTCTTACGATTAACCTGAAATGATTTTGTAGACAATTTGGTGGAGGGTGGCGGGGTGATGATTAAATGTCATTTTCCTATCTCAAGGAACATTTCAGTAAGTTGTCCCCTTAGGACAACTCTTCAGAGGGGCTCCTCGCAGATGAGAACATTGGTTTCCACAAAGTCCTGTCAGGGGAGTTGGCAGATTCCTGTGCCCAGGCAGCGGACTGCGTGGGACTCATCCATAGCCTTCATCCGCAGATCCCAGGATGCTCCTTGCCGCGTGTTGCCTGCACTGAAGCCCCAGGGACCCCAAAAGAGTGGGATGGCCAGAGCGAGCAGTCCTCCGAGGCAGCTATCGTCGCTTTCGCCGCTGAGACTGCTGCTTCTGCTGCTGGGATGCTGCCTCCTCGTGGCAGCCAGGAAAGACAGGGGGGCAGCTGGTAGGAAGGCGGTCCCGGCCTCGGGTCTCACGGGCGGTTCCTCGGGTCGCTTCGTGAGCCCGGAGCAGCACGCGTGCAGCTGGCAGCTCCTGGTGCCCTCCCCGGGGACGCCGACCGGCGGCGAGCTGGCCCTGCGCTGCCAGGCTCCGAGCGGGGCTAGCCTGCACTGCGCCTACCGCGGGCATCCCGAGCGCTGCGCGACCTCCGGGGCCGGGCGCTCGCACTACTGGAGACGGCTGCTGGGAGCGCTGCGCAGGAGACCGCGACCCTGCCTGGACCCCGCGCCGCTGCCACCGCGCCTGTGCGCCCACAAGAAGGCGGTCGCAGAGCTGCACCCGCCGGCTCGCCCCACCCTGTCCGTGAATCCCGCGGAGCAGCTCCGTCCCAGAGCGCGGAGCCGTGCCCGGCCGCGACAGCCAATGTGGTCCTCGAGCTCGCCGCCCGAAGGGAAGCCCTCGAGGGCGAAGACCAGTGCGGGCAGGAGGAAGGCTGGCTCGGACCCGGTCCCGAAGCCTCCCGCGGTGGCTGGGCTCCAGCCAGACGGGCTGGACCAGAATGCCGAGCTCACTGAGACCTACTGCGCCGAGAAGTGGCACTCTCTCTGCAACTTCTTTGTCAATTTCTGGAATGGCTGAGGCTGCGGGTCTGGCGGGGCACTGGGGGCAGGTGCTGCGGAGCAGAGGGCAGCGCGGCCCGGGCGGGAGGCTCAGGGGTCTTAGAGCGTGGGAACCCGGATGGAGTAGGCAGGAGTCCGGATTCCAAAATGGGTCAGGGGTCAGGGTGGGGAGAATCTGAGACAGCAGAGGGGTGAACGTCTTCGAAGCATCTCAATTCTGATTTAAGAGCAGAATAGTGGAAACGGATAGGCTTATATTAAGTTTGCAAAAAAAACAAAAACAAAACAAAAAAAACAAAAAAAAAAACTGTAGACTAGGAGGGAGAGAAGCTGAGAATAGGGAAATGAAGTGACTAGAGAGGGGCCAATCTATCCTATAAGAGGGAGACAGTGTACATTAACACATTACTATTAAAATGCAACTGAATAAGAGTCTGAACCAGGTTGAACTGTTCAAAGTCTTCTTGGCTCTTCAGCCAACAAGATGACTAGTTTTTCTCTCCATGTCCTTTTCTGGATTGCTATGAACTCTGGGTGAGACAGCACCACACTTTCTATGTGGTTTGAAGCCTGATACATAAAAAAATAAATCCAAGAATGGAGTATCAGGGCATTTGCTTTTCAGTTCTTTCCTTTAGCATTGCTTTTTTAACTGAATTTTGAGCATACTGTCCTGAAAGTTCATTAACTACCTAAATTCAGAAGTGAATTTTAGAAGTTCATTGCTCTCTAGATCTCCAAATACAAAAATTCCCAAGCCTTTACATTTGATCACTTTTAAAATTCAGATAAAATGTAGACATGTATCTCAGTTCTTTGGGCCCTTATCTCCTGTGTGATTAAATTTAATTTTTTTATTTTTAATATGTAATGATCATCTTTAATAAAAACTGGACTTAAAGAATTATGAATTGATGGGAATTCTGCTTTGTCATTTATCTATTTCTAAATATCTTTATTAAAGCTTAAGTTCTGGATATACAGATGCTCCACCATGACCAACTTGAATTAAGTTCTTAAATACAAGTTGAAGTTTTGGGAAAAGAAACTGAAAAAAAAAAATGTGTATAAAGCAAGAGCCACCAACAGGCAGCCGCTGCCGTGTGCATTGTTCAGCTTGGACATCACTGGGCACTCATTCTCCGCCCCCACCCAGTCTCTCTTCCCTTGCTCCTTTCTCTTCTACCCCGTTTCTTTCTCCTCTTCCGTCCCTCTTTCCTCCAATTTGGATTAGCTGTCAGCATTTTAAGATGAAATAATTTCATATAAAACCCCAAAGTTCTTGTTTTCTTGAAACAAAAGCAGATCTGCCGACATCGGACCTGCCTTCTCACTTGGTAACAACTGGCTGTCAGCTGCCTCTCTTGGGATTAAGTGTGTTTTCTAGAGTTCTTACTCATTCCCACGCATCAATCAACTGTGTGTGTGTGTGTGTGTGTGTGTGTGTGTGTGTGTGTGTGTAGTATGGATGTAACTGTGGATTGAGCCCAGGGCCTTGTGAATACTAAGCAAGCACTTGGCCTGACTGAGCTACATTCCAAGCTAGGCTATTTGGGGTGTGTGTGTGTGTGTGTGTGTGTGTGTGTGTGTGTGTGTGTGTGTGTAAGTCAGAGAAAAACCTGCAGGAGCCAGTTCTCTTCTCTCCCTCTACTTCATGGGTCCCAGGAAGCCAATTCCATTTGTGGGGCCTTGAGGTCTGCAGTGGGCAAGTGCCTTTACCTACTGAGGCACCTTGAAGGCCCCATCATTTTTAGTTTTTCATATCACTCAATCCCTCAGTTCTATATTTTCATCAGTAATCCAAGGGTGGGTATTTTTTTTTTTTAACTATTTGGAGGTACAATAAATTAGTTCTAAATGCCTTTCAAAATTTACAGGCTCTGAACAGAGCTATTTTCTTTGAAATCAAAGTAATACAAAGTAATACAAACTCAAATGGTATAATATTAAGTACTAATCTGTTCTTGAATGCTTCTGTGGTGGAGGCATAGACTTTAGTCTTGTTAGTTTTGCTGTGTGATTTTTTTTAAATTTGCAAGTTTTTTTATGATAAAGTTTATAACATGAAAGGGAGTTTTCTCTCATGTATTTGTTTGCTGTATATGTGCTCAAATACTACAGCACACTTGTGGAGGACAGAAGACAAGTTTCAGAAGTCTATTCTGTCCTCCCACTGTGTGGGTCTCAAGGATTAAAGGATTGAACTCTGATGATCAGGCTTGGCAGCAAGCCCCTTCACTTGCTGATCCATCTAGAAATAGGGCCTTGAGCTCATTGTGTATCTGCCTGTGAGCTTGTATTTTAAGCTAAGTTATTTTTAAGCTTTGGGATTTTATATTCACCCCACGATATATGGTATTTTTTTTTTATTTTATTTTTAGTTAAAGAGTTTATTGCCAAGGGGCTGGGGAGGCCCATGTAAAGGTAGAGAAGGCTGACTCCATCGAGTTGTCCTGTGATCTCCATTCAGGCACAGTGACACACACCCTTCCCATATATACACTATTAATAAAAGTGGTTTTCGCTTTGTTGTGTGTGTTAAAGCACTTATTTTTCTAGGCCATGGGGATGTTGTTCAGTAGTAGAAGGACTTGCTTAGTGTGCACAAGGCCTCGGGTCTCCCCTCAGTACTGAAAAATATTTATTTCCTAATCTAATTTTGGCATTAATTATATTTACTAGTCAGACTTTTAATAAAATTTAAAAAAAAAGTTGGAACCTAAGGCATTAAGAAACACTAACAGCATCAAAATAGGACCGCTAACAAAAGTTTTGTAATTATCAGTAGATAATGAATTTCACAGATGGCAACCCTTTCTGAATTTCTTTCTCAGAAAAATATCGTCACAGGTAAAGCACCAGAAGTACTCAGTTTTTCTGTTGCTCTGGTAAAATCCAGAGCTAAATGACGTTGCAAAAGATTTTTTTTTCATCCAAAGAGTGCCATCTTGTGGCCTTGTGGTCTACTTACACCAAAATTATCTAAACTAATGAGCTCAATCCACAGATTTGTCAGAGGCACTGCTCCAAGAAGGAATAGTGCACACCCATCTAGTGACGGGTCTTGAGAGATGGCTCAGCAGTTGTGTTTACTACTCTTGCATAGGACCTGAGTTTGGTTCCCAATCCCCCCATAAGTTGCTCAAATCCACCAGTAACTACAGCTACTGGGGATCCCACACCCTCTTCTGGCCTCTGCAGGCACCTGCACTCAACACACATACATTCTCAAGCACACCTGTGCATGCACACACATACATACCTAAAAAACAAAACAGCCTTGTAATTTGGCTGGTGAAATGGCTCAGCAGGTAAAGTGCTTGCTACACACTTTAGTAATAAATGCTTAAAAATTAAACTTACTGTGTGTCTGCAATGTGAATGGCATATGTGCTACAGAGTGTGCTGGAGGTCAGAAGACAACTTTGTAAGGTGAGTTCACATCTACTTTTATGTGGGTTCTTGGGTTCTGGGACTAAACAGCTGAGTCATCTTGCTGACCCGGTTACCATTTTCTTAGCAGTTTATAAGAAGGTAAAGTTTGTTAATGACTTCAGTGATTAAGCTGGGAATGCTTATGCCTAAAATTTCAGTTTGAGGTCAGCTTGGGCTATCGTTTTGTTTTGTTTTGTTTTTTTTGAGACAGGGTTTCTTTGTGTAGTTCTGCCTGGCTGTCCTGAAACTTGCTCTGTAGACCAGGCTGGCCTCAAACTCACAGAGACCTGCCTGCCTCTTCCTCTAACTGTGTGGGATTAAATGCTTGTTCAGTCTGCACTATTTAATGCTACTTTGTCTCAAATTTAAACAAAGATAATATGTAAATTTATTTATTTATTTATTTGTTTTCTTGAGACAGGGTTTCTCTGTGTAACAGTCCTGGCTGTCCTGGAACTGATTTGTAGACCAGGCTGGCCTTGAACTCATTAAGATCTGCCTGCCTCTGTCTCCCAAGTGCTGGGATTAAAGGTGTGCACCACCACCACCACCACCACCACCACCACCACCACCACCACCACCACCACCCAGCTTTAAATTTATTTATTAAAAATAAAAAGATAATAGAAGTAATTTGTATTACTTCTTTCACATTCCATTTTCTTCTTTACTTAACTTCCTTCCAGGGGTAATGATCATGTTATAAGTGTGGGGTGAATTCTTCTAATCCACTTGTTATAATTATATACTTGTCAATATCCATATATGTAAAAACTCACACCAAGTATGGTTACTGTACTTTCATGGATATTAATTAAAATTAGGAAGGCCTAAATATTAACTGTTCTTGATTTTCATGTGCTAGAAATATATTAGTTTAGCAAATTTATCCAGGGGTGCTCTTGGACCTATATGCATACAGGGGATAGGTAGAGGGGAGAGACACACACACCACACATACACAAACACAAATTTTAAAAAAGTAGTGAGCAAATAACTTATAGCCTGGAGGTGGTGGCTGTAATCTTTAATCCCAGTGTTCAGGAGGCAGAGACAGGCAGATCTCTTAGTTCAAGGCCAGCCTGGTCTACAGAGTGAGTTCCAGGACAGCCAGGGCTATACAGAGAAACCCTGTTTTGAAAAAGAAAAAGGAAAAATTTGCAAAATTATACTTTGGATATGTATATATTTATAAACAGTCAAATTTCATAGTGACAGTTACTTCTGGCATGGTACAGAGGAGGACCATGGGATTAGAGAGGAGTAAGGGATAATTCTAACTCTAATTTTGTAGAAATTTATCTAAAGCAAATATAGTAAAGTATTAAAATATTTTGAATTTTTCTTAATTTATAATTTGGCCATAGATTCTACTTACTCACTTTCCTTCTTTTTGGACTCTATTGTAAAATTAGAGGTATTTAGATGGATATGAAACTATGAATTCAGACCACTTCCAGATTTTCTGTAACACAGTGTTGTTATAGTATTGTGTTTCTATATATTTTTGAAACAGGGCTTTACTCTGTGGCAATGGCTGACCTGGAACTTGCTATGTAGACCAGGTTGACCTTGCGCTCACAGACCCTTCTGCCTC